ACTTTCCCTGGCTGGCTTAGCTGCTCAGCTATACTGGGGATGCCGATGATCACGATTAACATTGGTGTTGGTGACCAGCCAACTACCCCAGAGTGTTTCTTTAGGTGGCTAGATGACTGAGGTTTGGGAAATGCATGTTTGAAGGAGGAATGAGAGGGAACCCAGGGAAAGTCCTTTTCTGAGATTAGCGATCGGTTCTCCTGTGGAGAGTCATGTCAAAAGGCAGATGAATTGCCTGTGAGGCAAGAAGATCTCCTGAAAGCTGGGGAGTCAGGTTAGAAGCAGGGGTGTAGCATCAAGTGATCCTGTATGGAGAGCTGAACCCCTGGTTGCTCTTCCCTGGAATATGAGGGAAGTCATATCTCATGCACAGCTTCAAGTTGTCCAGTGTTATATTCCAATTCCCTTGAGCTACAAACCCTTTGTGAAATCTGTTATCCAGTAGAGCCTTTGTAGGCCCCAGTCTGGCAAACAAAAGAACAGGTGTATAGAAGAGACCCAGCCTGTTCCCACCAGCTTCTTCATGGGGGCCGTGGGGGATGCAGCATTTTCTTGAGGGAGATCATAACTGGAGTCTAGGGTGGAGAGCAAAAGGGTGAGGTGGTTTATGGCCAAGTTAGGGACAGCAGGATCATGCTGGACACTGAGGAAGAACTTCAGGAGGAACAGAGAGTAGAACTTCCATATCCTTGGTATTTTCTAGGGGAAGCTGGCCCCTGGAAGGGAGTGGTAGTTGTATGGTTGGATTACACATGTAAAAAGTGATTAATATTGGTTGTAGCTGCTGAGTGATTACAATTGAGTTTTGATCTTTCTATATTTTCTTTGGCCCTTTAAAAAAATTACCCTGACACATATTAAAGTGGTAGGGAAATGGGAGACTTTACTGAAGACTGTTGTAATAGGAGTGTTGCAGTTGGGGGAGAGATAGAGCTCGAAAAGAGGAAGTGGGGATTTATAGGCAAGGAATAGAGTAAGGGGTTTGGTGGATGGAAAATGACTAAGAAGAGACATTAAGGGTAGGTGGATTCTTGCTAGACTAAACTAACAGGATTCTTGCTAAAGGCAGGCCAGGGCAATTGGAGGTTATGGGTCAGAGGAGTTCTCACTAAATGGACCTAGCAAGATTTTTTCTACGACTGCACTAGGCTAGCTGAAGAGAGGACCCAAGGGTGAGAGCCCAGTGGAAATGAAGGCTCGAAGGAGCCTGTTTCAAGTGTGGTCAAGGAGAAAGTCTTTGTCATCCCAAACGGGCCATAAATGTATGGCCACTAAAATGAGAAACAAAAATTAATAAAATAAAAAATACTCTCTCAAGAAATATAACTGAATGCAATATACAATCCTAAATTGAATCCCAACTAGAGTTTACTTATTTTTCATTTTTGCTACTAGTGAGACAGTTGGTGAAATTTAAATATAGCTTAGGCTAGAAAATAGTGTTGTATTGATGGTTAAATCTGGATTTTGATTATGTAAGAATGTCCTCATTGTTAGAAAACACTCACTGAAGAATTTTTCAGTAAAGGAACATCGTATCTTCAGCTTATGCTCCAACAGTGTAGGAAAAAACTACATACAGAAAAACAGCAGGGTAGGCAAACATGGGCAAATGTTGGCACATGGAGATTCTGGGTGAAGATATATGACGATTCTTTATACTATCTTTTAACTTTTCTGTAAATCTGAAATTGTTTCAAAATAAAATTTAAAAAACTAACAAAAAATTTAAAAAATCATGCAAACTTAATTACTCAGTCCAGTGCTACCTTTTCCAGGAAGGCACTTCAACCAATCTGCCTTATGGTAGGTAACACAAACCATGATTTCCTTGAATTTCTCTTCTCCTCTGATTTCCTCAAAGCCTCTTCCTCCTTTCTCCTCTAGAGGCAGCATAGCAGGGGAGGATGCTTGTGGATTTCTGAACTCACAAACCTGGATCCAGATGCTGCCCCAGCCACTGCCCACCAGTGGGAACACGGTCATCACCCCCTCTACTGACGTCAGGTTTTTAAATCTACACAATGGTCACAACAAAATATATTGCATACAGTTGTCATGAGAAACATACAGCCATACGTAACATAAGTTCTGATCTAGAAGGAGCTCTTAATTTCCCTCTTTTTTCTTGAATCAGTCTCTCAACATCCTTGGGAAATAGGTAAAAATTTGATAACAATTCTTAGAAAATTTCTTTAGAATTTATCACCATAACTAATATGGACAATTTACAATGCACTCTACAGTGCTTGATACGTAGTAGCCCCTTAGTGAATGTTGTTCATGGGGCAACACTTGCCCTGGCTTTTTCTCACCTGACCATTCCAGCATCCCTATGGAGTAGAAAGGGACCTATTGTTATCTTCGTTTTTACAGATTTGGAAATGGAGCCCCTAGAGAGTTGAATGACGTGCTTTACTTCTAGGATACGTGTCTGATAACTGGTAAAGTCTGGAAGTAAATTTTATTTAATTATTGCAAAGTCAAGTTTACCACTGCACTTACATCCAGACTAGAACATTGCAAATAAATCTTACAGCCTCCATTAGATGCATGAATCCATTGGATCTCCTACATCCTTTCCAAACTATTCCACAAACAAAACCTATGGAACATATACTTTGAGCCAGAGAAGAGAGGAGAAACTTTCCGATTCAGACCCACGTTTATATTAGTGTCTGTTTACTCTAGTAAATAGACATCCCTCTTTTCTCAACCGAAATGCCCTTTTTATGGCTGTAGCTGCCCTCACCCCCAGAACTACATTTCTATCTTCTGCGGGTGTCTGGGTATCATGGGGCACAGCCAGACTTACAGCTTGGAAGCTGGACCTTATCAGCTGAGTCAGCAGCATTCCAAATTGCTGAAGACCCTTTAATAAAAGGAAGCAAGACAGGCAACTTAATTTAACAGGGAAACAGACAAACCTAATTTGTGAGGGCAGTGGCTCTCAGAGCTTCTGAAAGCGGGAGATATTATTTTGCCATTCTGGAAGCTTCAGCAACTTGGAAATCTAATATCCTGAGTCTGAACATACCTGAGTTTTCATGATAGACTATCTTAGATTTACACGTGCATTTGAATAGTTTGGATAAGATGGCTGTCCAAACTATTCACTTAGTGACATTTACTTAGTTGGAAAAATCAGACCTCTTTGGCTAATTAAACATGACATAATCGTACTCGAACCTATGTTTCAGATCCCTCTGTTCATACCTAGTGTCCACTGGGATAGGTACATACTAGTGTCCACTCTGGGATAGGTACAGCCTATCCCGGAGTCCATCCCTTGTTTTCACTACTCCCCAAAGTACTATCTTGCAATATGCGTTTTTTACACGAATGAATAAAATGATTTTTAAAAATCCCAATGAGTGATATTAGGGAGAAGTACCAAAAGTTCACCAATTTATTTTTGTGAATTCTGTAAAGGATGTCATCCAGTGTCTTCAGCATTAAAGGACATTACCCAACAGCAGCAGCCCCATTGCCCTTTTATTAATCCGTAGCCAGAATGGGGACTAGGCGGCTGGGATTCACCTGCTCGCCTCTCCTGGGCGCCTGGTGCAGCTCAGATTAAGCGCAGCAGGGTAAGAGTTTGAGGACGGCAAACCTTCCTGCATCTGAGGGAGGAGTTCCGGAGAGGATCCGCGGGGGTGCAGCCTCCGATGTAGTACCAGGGAGGGCGAGGGTTCCTGTGTCTGTCTGGAGCGCAGAGGGCTGGACTGCAAAGAGGTAGGAGGCAAAGCCAGCTCGAGTGTGCCACGACCCAAGTGTCGCCTCGCCGGCGAATGCTCACGCCCACTCCAGGTCCGAGACTCCTCCTCCTCCTCTCGCTTGAGCCCTTCGTGGCTTCCAGCACCGCTGCGCGCTTCTAGTCCCAGCGAGACTCTCCAGTCCGGACGGACTCCGAGGGGGCGGGACCCGGCTGGATGGGCGGGGCCAAGCCCTTCCCGGGCCCGCCCCTTGGCAGTGCTGCGTGGTGACTGGACGCGTCGGAAGGCCGCCTTCCAGGCCGGCCCCGGGAGTGACAGGCGGCCCGCCGCTGCTCCCAGGCGCGCTGGGTGCGGAGTGCGGGGCCCAAGACCCAGAGGGATGGGGATCCCGGGCCGCAGCGCGGCCGGGTGGGAGTGCCCGCTGGGATTCGGGCACTCCGGAGCACGGCAAGCTTGCCGTTTCTGGTGCCGGCGAAGCGTCCTGCTGCGCTCGCTGGAGTGCCAAGAGCATTTGGGAAACTAACTTCTCGCCCCCACTCCTTGCTCCCGACTTTCGGGTGGAAAAGCAGTTGCTGAATTATTTTATTTCCTCCCCCATCGGACTTTGTAAAAATAGCCGTGCGCCGGGGCGGCCGAGTCCGTCTCTGCCGTACCGCTACCCCGGGTCGGATGTGGACCTAAAAATACCCGGCGGTCCTGAGCCTGCGCTGGGGGTGCGGGTGGGTCCGGCCGGGCCGCAGAGGGCGTCTGGAGACCAGAGAAACGGCGGCCGCCTGGCCCCTCGCCTCGGCCTGGGCTGTCCCTTTAAATCCTGGAGGAGGCCGAGAGAAAAAAGCAAAGAAAGAGAAAAGACGCGGAGACCCGAGCGGCTGGCGGCGGTGCCCGGCCCCCCATTCCGCCCCCGCGCCGGGGCCCGACGCCCGCCCGCCGCCTCCGCGGGTCCCGGGCGCCCCCCGCGGCGCCGCCCACTCGCCACAGTTACTGTCAAAATAGAAATTAGCGGAGCCGGGAGGGGGCTGGGGCGCAGCAAGTGCATGTGCGGCGGGGCGGGGAGGGGGCAGGCGCGAGCGACAGGCGACCGCAGACATCCGGGCCCTTTAGCCCCGTGCGCCCCCCGAGCCGGCGGCGCGGGGCGCGGGGCGCTGGGCGCTGGGCGCTGGGCGCTGGGTGCTGGGCTCTGGGCGCTGGGCTGACAGCCGCGGCGCGGGAGGCGGGGCGCGGGGAGGGCGGAGGCGCGGCGCGGGGAGGGAGGAGCTGCCTGCGCGCCCGCCGCCGCCGCTCGGCTCCACACCCGCCGGCGCAGCCCCGCCACGAGACTCTGACAGCGGCGGGGCCGGCGCGGCTCGGACGCGCAGGGACCTGCGGACCCCAGCGACGAAGGAGGACGAGAGGACCGCGGCCCGGGGCCAAGTGCGGGAGGCGAGCAGGGCCGGAGGCGCGCGGAGGTGAGCGGCTGCGCGTGTTTGGCTTGGGCTCCGGCTGCCGGGGTCGCGGTCTCCGCTGCACCTCGGCAGCAGAGGCGGGTCGGGAGGTCGCGGGGCGCCGGGAAGGTGGCTCTGCCACTGCCACGCAGGAAAGCGGTCGCGGGGGCGGTTGCTAGGAGGCCGGCTGTCCGCGCGTTCCTGGGCGCAGGCGGGGCAGGGGCGCCCTCCGCGCGGCGGGCAGGAGGCGGGGGGCTGCGGTGGCTATTCAGGGGCTCCGTGCTGCAGCCATGCAACCGAGGAGGCGGGAGGAGGGAGGGAGGAAAGGAGGGAGGGGAGAGCCAGCGGAGAGCGAGCCAGCGAGCGGGCGCCGCGCCTCCTGGCTGGCACCGCGGCCCGGAGCGAAGTGGCGCGCGGGGCTGGAAAGGAACTTATGCGGGCGCGTGCGGTCCGGGACTCCGCGGCGCCTCCGGGCCCGAGCGGGGCGGGCCCGTTGGCAGCCACAGGTGGTTAGTGCCAAAAGTTTTACCGCACTTCTGCCGGGAAAGCGTGGGAGCGTTTTGGTGAGTGACGTTTTCCTGGGACTTTGGCAACCGCACTTCACGCTGTCTTTTCTTGAAAATTGGAAAATGAGCTGGAAAGGCTGGGATCCCGCACCTTGCGATGAGATCTGAGCACCGAGTAGCGGTCCCTGCCCGAGGTGGCGCTCAAAAGGGACTCAATGATCTTTGCTGTCGTCAAATTGTGAAGCTGGAGGAAATGGGTGCGCACACACAGCTCCCCCAAGCTTTGGGCAAGTGAAGCAGAGCCCGGCCCGGTACCTGTCACCCGCGCAGGGTAATGCGGGGTCTAATCCCAGCGACACACACGAGAACTGCGCGCGTCTTCACTCAAGGTGTGCACGTCTCTTGCTCCGTTGAAAGCCAATTGTCTCCGCCGCTGTGGTGCTTTGGTTTTCCGGCTGCTTGTCTGATTTTACTAGGATAAAGGCCAGGAGGAGCCAAAGAAAAGCGAAGCGGCAGCTCTCGTTATCTTTGCAATTTGCAAAGCTGTGGAGGCTGGTACCCAAGCTTCCGCGCGCTGGCGCAAGGCCGAGGGGAGCTGGGGGTGAGTGGCGTGCGCTGCCTGTCTAGGAAGCTTCGCTGGACCATGTGCAAGGCTAGAGCTGGAGTTGCTGGTGCTTCTAGGACAGAAAGAGGGGTGGGAGTGGAAAGGGAAGACCCCTTAATGGAGAAAGATATACTGTGCCCAGCCCTGGGAGAGAGGCTCCAAGAAGTCCGGTGGCTTGGCCCTGTTCCTCATTGGCGGGGTCAAGGAATCCAAGGCAGCCAGATAGACGACTCGGTAGGTCGTCCTGGTCTGAAAGAAATCATTATTCCCAGAGCGGGTCCGATACCCGGGTGTTGCAAGTAGGTACAAAACTGCGTGAGAGGTGGAAACTCTCAGTCCTTCATTCTCCTTGGTCCAGCAGCTCCTGCTCCCTGCTCCCTGCCCCCACGAGTACACGAGCAAAAAGCATTGCTCTTTGCTTTATAGAAGGCTACAGGATTTTGAAGTTGAAAGGCACCCTAGAGATATTAGGAGCACTCATTTTACAGATGAGCAAACTCAGGCCCAAGGAAGGAAAGGGACCTGCTGCAGTGGCTAGAGACCCAGTGAGACCAGAAATGACATCAGTCTTCCAGGCAAGGGTGGAGAGACTTCCCTGGGCAAGGCCTGGTAGGGCTGGAGATCAGAAATGCCATCCTCACACCCCAAGCCCATCATGGACTCATTATCTGGTACTTTCTAAATCCATGCTTGCCAGCTAATGTCGTATATTTCCTGTCCCCTGCCCTTCCCTTGAAAAAAGCAGGACTGTCACTGCAAAGTCCAGTCTGACACTATCCCAACTTTTCCTGCTCCCTCATCCCAAATTCCTCAAGCTCCTTTTGTCACATAATGCAGCTTGATTAGCCAAGAAGAGTTTGCAGCCTTTTTCACTGAAGCACCCACTTTCCATAGGATGCCAGAACTCTGTTTTCCTGGTAATTAGATTTTACGGATATTTTTGAAAGGGAGCCCAATTTTGGATCAATTACACTTGGACAGAAATGCTGTGCTGTTGTGGATACCAAATGAGAAAGATGAGCAATTATCTGGGGGTGCTGGAATAAATGTTGTTACGAGTATTTGACACAGCCATTAAACATCAATGAGTGGGTTTTCAGTAAATGTTTTTTACTCTGCATTTTATTGAGCAAACAAAAGTGTCTAAATTAAAAAGAACTACAAGTTGGCCACTTCGATTTTAGCCACTTATTTTGTACCAGTGTGTATGAGTAGGAAGCAATTGAATGATAAGCAGAGTGATTATTACATGAACTTTTTACCCCCAAACTGTAATACTCTAGGTTGATGTTAGATTTCAGTCTATAATGTCATCTACAGTCCAGCAGAATTTTATTAAAATAAGCTGGATGCAGTGTGTGTCAATCTGTATTAGTCAGAAATGACTTGCAAGAGAGAATATTTTTGTAAGTTTGATTGCTTTCAAGGACATGCAGTATCAAGAATTCAAGGCTAGCGCAGAGCTGCCGGGTATAATTCTTCTGCTTTCATGAACAGATAAGAATCGGTGCCCCTCCGCCACCCCCTGCATTTCCACATTGCCTGTGTTTACCGGTCCTACAGAAGAAATTAAGATCTGATAACCCAATGATAATACAGTGTTACAATGCTTTTCACTTTCATTGCACGCTAATCGCATCAGCATTCCCACAAGATAGATAGTTCAGCTATTTGTTCATATCACAGAGGGAGAAACTGAGGCAGAAAGATGGGGAGAGTATTATTCCTATAACTTTTCCCACTGAATTAACATTGTGAGCACCTTTGGGCTTTCTGGGCTGACCAGGGTATAAGAGATCCCCTAGTAAGGTTGCCGGCCCCTCAGCCTCTCCAGCAGGGATGGTGTGAAGGTGGTATGAAGGAGTGGTGGGGTTGTAGTTACAGTTCACTGGAGGCTGTCACTAGGGCATTCTTGTTTCCTGCCCCCAGCCAAGGGTGGGCAGTTGTCCTCCCTCTCATAGCAGGCTGTGGGAACTTGGGTGCGGAAGGACCAGCTGGCTGAGGCTGGGGCGGGGGTGTGGGATCTGTGCCTGTGTAGGGCTGAAGGAGTCCAGGCTATTTATAACCCCTCCTCCCCTCCTGGGAAGAAGAGACTCAAGGGTCTGGAACCATCTGCAGCACTGACTTCTCCCGGGATGGCTGTGTCCCACTGGAAGGAAACCTATCTACTAACCACATGGACGGAGGGCACCGGAGTCGACCCCGACCTGTGTGTGGCATCCTGCAGGGGTTCTTGGAGTGCCAGTTGCCCTGGGGGAATTTAGGATACAAGGATTTTCCACCCTTGATCTTATCCAGAAGGCTGAGAAATGATGGATTACAAGGATTTTCTAGAGCCACCGTGTGTATTTTTGGTCAAATGTTAATCTCCCATTTGCACAAAGTGAGCTACACCCCAGAAATCTCATAGGGGAGAACTCACGAACTCATTAACATGAGGGTAGTTGGCTTTTCTAAATAATGAGAACTGATTTTTATGCAGGAGATTTTGTAAGTGGCAAATCAAATGTGGTTCCCTCTGACTCCAAGCTGAGTCATTTCTGTGTGGGGCTGGTCGGGGAGGTTTGAGGCATTCAGAGCTCTTTCCTTCCTCCCCGGACTGTGCCCCAGATAGGTCCCCGATGGCCCCTCACCCACCCACTCTTCAAACCAGCACCAAAGTCCTGCCTCCTTTGTCTGGAATAAATAGTACCTGCCATGCCATCAGTTACAACTTCATTCCTGAGGCCAAACAGATTTTTTTTCCCTGGGTTGGTGGAGGGAGGAATGAGGTTGGGATGGGGTGGAGGAAGCTGGCAAGGCACTGAGCTTGTCTTTCTGTTTAACCCTTTGTTGTGAGTTGATCCGCCCATTGGAACTGTTTCAGGGGCTCACAGCAGGTTTTACCAGGGTGAGACTTTAGTAGGAGGCTGTGGATGGAGAGGTCAGGGCAGGACAGCTGTGGCTGTGGGTGGCACCTGGCCAGCTTTTCATAGGCCTCCTATGCTGAAGTGTTTGAGGGCAGGGCTGGCATGTTGCTTGTCTTCGTGTCCTCGGCATCAGCAAGGCCTGGACATGGAAAACATTTGCTGAATGAATGCTGTGGGCTGGGCATGGGTGGATGGGTGAACAGCAATTGGATTTGCATCTTTGCTGTACTCCATGGCACGGTGAAGGGGGTGTTGGGAAGGCAAAGTCATAGAAGCAGAATGTAGATAAGAAGAGATGGGGTTCCTATAGGCATTGTGAGAGCCCTGGGGCCGAGCTGATTAGCCTCTCCATACCTCTTAATCCCAGTGGATGTTGGGGAACATCCATTCATCAATTCAACAGGTAGTGATGAAGTCCTTCTCTACAGGCTGTCATGGCACAATCCAGTCTCACAGAGCAGGCAGAGGGAATTTCCTTTAGTAAGGGAGACCAGGCCACTCCCTTTCGTAACCAACCATGGGCATGTGGGATCTGGTCCCTGCCTGCATCTCTGACTTCCTTTTTATTCCCTGTGCCCACCCTTCTGCCTTTTTTTTTTTTGTTTCTTAAACATATTGAGCTCATGTGTTTTTGGCTTGCCTGTTCTCTTTGTCTGGAATGTTCTTCCTTTAGATTTTCCCATAACTGTCTTCTCTACTGACACATCACCCTGGACTATATTCTTTACAGCACCTGACACTATCTGGGATATAAACTTTTTTTTTAAAGGCTTAAGATCATTTTTTATTTGACAATGCTTCCCTTCGAATTTAACATACCAAGTAGGCCTGTTTATCAGCTCTCTTCTGGATGCTTCTTGGGCGCTTTTTATTTAATTTTTTTTTTTATTTCGTAGGTTTTTGGGGAACAGGTAGTATTTGGTTACATGAGTAAGTTCTTTAGTGGTGCTTACTGAGATTTTGGTGTTCCCATCACCTAAGCAGTGTACCCTGTACCAAGTATGC